TCTCTCTCTCTCTCTCTCTCTCTCAATTTTTACAAAAAATACATATCTTAATGTATATATTAAAATATTTTATCTGAATGTATATAACTTACAATAGTTTTAGCCATAAACGTTGATTAATATTGTTTCTCACTTTATTATATAAATACTAAATAATTAATTTGATGGCAAAAGTTGTATGAATTTTATATGATATCATTGAGAGTATCATTGATATGACATGCAATTTGTTTTATAACTTTTTCTAATAAATTATTGCTAATAATTACTGTATATTGAAAGTTGTAATTGTATTTTTCAATCTCCCGGTTGTAGTTATTTATAGCAAAATAAATGCATTAATAAGTGTAAAATGATTATGCGTTAGATTTAATAAATTCTTATCCTTTAATCCATTTATCAAAATTAATTTCCTTTTAATAAACTTTTTTACAAACTTTTTATAACTTTTTTAAAAAGTTGTGATAAAAATGTGTACCAAATATTATCCAACGACGGGTCGGAACTGTTTGTCATATCATATCAATGACAACAACTGAGCCTTGAATTGTAAATTTTGTTTTAAGAAAGCAATCATTGAATTGTAATCTTCTTTCAATATCTGGTTTTTTCCCAATAATTATTGAATTTTAAATGGTTTTATCATTTCATAAATTACTATAAATTTAATATAAAAATTGAAAAATCATAGGTTTAGAAAGTTTTTAAAATTTTGTATATTTTTATACTTATTGTTAAAATTATGGATCACTTGAAAGATATTAAGAATTTGGATAATCTGTCGCTTGTAATCCACGGCCCAAACGACTTAAGACTCCAACAAATGCCTATTAAACAGCATTTGGGAGATAATGGTAACCAACACTCATTATAATCCAAATATTTAATTAATTAATTTCTTAATTAGAATGTCTTCTCCAAACCCACAGGTATTGAAATCAATTCTTATATGTGTTTAACAATAAAAGTTTACAAAATAACATAAAACTAATCAGAACTTCAATGATGTTTAACTAAATTAAAAGCATTAAATTTAATTGAATTTAAATATGAATAATAAATAAAATGATATTGATGAAAAGTTGTGGGTTCTGTGGGACTGACTTGCATTTAATGGACGATGGTCGGATGGCTGACTTCGTGGTCAAAGAACCACTAGTTATAGGACACGAAACGTCCGCTCGAGTGATAGCCGTCGGCAAAGATGTGACAAATTTGAAAGTTGGAGACCGAGTGGCGGTCGAGGGAGCGATTCCCTGCCAGAAGTGCGAGTACTGTCGGGACGGCAAATACAACTTATGTCCCATTTCTAACACTCAGGCCAGAGGTTTGCCACCAAAACACGGCTGTCTTCGCCGTTATTACACACATCCGTCCGATTTCTTGTTTAAGTAATTGTTTTATGCATTTAATTAACAAATAATTACAATAACGCTATAATAATACTATAAGACTTCCGGACAACGTTTCGTGGGAAGAGGGGGCGATGTGTGAGCCGTTCGCCTGCATAGTTCACGCCTGTCGTAGACTTAACATAACCGCCGGTCAAAATGTGTTGGTGTGCGGCGCGGGTGCGATGGGAATGATGGCCTTCCTGTGCGCCAAAGCCTTTGGAGCCAATAAAGTGTTTATAACAGATCTGAACAAAAGTCGCTTAGCGTTGGCCAACACATTAGGTGTGGACAAGTCCTACGTAATCGATCCCAAGAACTTCAACGACTATGAAATGGCGCAGACTATCATCAAAGACATGGGATGTAATCCTGATGTTTGTATTGAGGCGACGGGTAATGAGACGAGCACTTCGATGGCCATCTATGCGACCAAAAATGGTGGTAAAGTGGGAATCGTTGGTTTGGGAGGCCTTAAGAGTACCGTTCCTTTAGTTCACACCGCGATGAGAGAAATTGATTTGATCGGCGTTTGCAGGTTTAGGGATGAGTTAGTATTCACACCACAATTGTTTTAAATACATTTTCAAATGAAATAATTGATGTAAATGTGGGTTTCAGTTATCCATTGGCCATATCATTGATTGCTTCGGGAAAAGTTAATTTGAAGCCATTAGTGACCCACAAATTCCCGGTTACTGAAGCCATCGATGCCTTGAAATTTATGAAGAAGAATGTGGAGGGATCTCTCAAAATTATGGTTCAATATTAGATTGTCAATGAAATACTCATTTAGTTTAATTACAGTGCAATTATAATTTTAACTTTCATATATTGTCTTAGAATTCTGAGTATTAATAATATCTTAAAATAAAATTTGATTACTAGTTATTTAATAATTCAATTGCTTTTTATTAGTTATATAATATAAAAATTAATATTCTTTATAAATTGCATAAAATTTATATAAAATAATTAATGATCGCTACCATGTAAAACTTTATGTTAAATTGTATGCAAATAAATTCAAATAATATGCTTTTATTGTACGTTATAAGTTATAATTTGATTTAATAATTAACAATAATTGTTATTATACAGTAAATGATAGCATTAGAGCCACACAATCCCTCTATCTGTTCACTCAACCTAATCCCTAATCGACCATAAATTAAACTAACGAACCATAGCATTGAGAATTCAAACATTTATAAAATGAGATAGAATTTAAATAATTAATATAATTATTGATAAAATACAAAATTATGACACAATGAATATACAGTATATATATATATTTAATTTAATCAAATAATAATACGGACTAAATATGCACTAAAACAGTGCATTTTAAGACCGCTTGTTTTTGTCAAGTAATCAGTTGTAGATTTTAAATACACTTCAACTATAAGTAGACAATAGAGTAGAAAATAAGTTAATACATAATCTAATGGTTAAGTAAATACATAAATGTATTGGTAATCAAAAGGTACAGCACTTCCCAAATGGCAATGAAAAGTCCTTTTGTACCAAAACTTTTTCAATGATATAAATAGTGAAGGTTTTAAAATATTTATCACAAAAAAAAGTTTGTACAATAGTTTTAAACAAAAACTTATTATTTTATTTGAAATAAAATATTTTTATTAATTTTGTCGTTAAGAATGTCAACAAGTGTTAGATATGCGGGTAAAGTAGTTGTGGTGACCGGTTCCAGCTCTGGCATCGGTGCCGACACTGCCATACAATTTGGCAAAAGTGGGGCACAAGTGGTGATCGCCGGCCGTCGGGCCCACAACTTGTCCGAAGTGTCCAAACAAATAGCAAAAGTCTCGCCGACGGGACTGAAAGCGTTGGAAGTGGTGTGCGATGTGACCAAAGATGATGACTGCAAACGTCTTATTGAGTCCACAATCAAAGCGTTTGGTCGGTTGGATGTGTTAGTGAACAACGCGGGCGTCACCGGTATTACAGCCATCGATGACAAGAATATTCTTAACGATTATCACAGAATATTTGACACAAACGTGCGGTCAATCATATATTTAACTCATTTGGCGACACAGTATTTGGAGAAAACCAAAGGCAATATAATTAACATATCGAGTATTGCGGGCCTTAAACCGGTCGGTCATCTCATTGTCATAATTAGAACAAATTATTCAAAACTAATAAATAATAATAATGTTTTATAATAATTTAGTTCCAGAATTGGACCATATATTGCATGAGTAAAAGTGCTTTAGATATGTTCACCAAATGTTTGGCCCTGGAATTAGGCCCCCGAGGAATTCGCGTCAATTCTGTCAAGTAATTTATCAAATTCAATCATAAAAATTAGTTATTAAAACTTTATTAAAATTTTATTAAAACCCGCGAACAGTCCGGCGGCCGTCCGAACAGAGATTATGTACACATCGGGCGGTCTTAACAAAAAAGTGGTCGAAGAGAACTATGAACTACAGGCCAAGTCATACCCATTGGGACGAGTGGCCGATCCCATAGACATCGCTAATGTAATACTGTTTCTGGGATCAGATGAGGCGTCCTTTTTAACCGGAGTTAATCTACTCGCAGACGGCGGGGCTATGAATGCACTGATCCGGGTCTCAGACTTTAAAGCCGATAAATGATTGAACATTTAGACTGACTATGTTATCGATTTTTACATTTAAACATAATATTTGTTAATAAAGATATTCCAAGACATCGATGCAATTGTTGTACAAATATTTTTGAATACAATTTTCAAAAATTTTACGTTTGAGTCAATCCTTATCGTATAAAATAAATGCCAAATTGTTTGTAATTAAATTCAAAGAATAATAAACTCGATGTGATTAGTGTTTTTTAATGGACAAAGTTGTTTATTCCTTATCCGTTTAAAGTGGACCACAATTAGAGTCCAAACAATTAAAATATATGTAAATACAAGAAAATCAATGAGATTTTGTTTCGTCGAGATTTGCACTCATTTTTGAATGAAAAGATTCCCCAAAAAAGCAAATCATTAGTTGTTTTCAATTCCTTGTTTTTTTTGTCAATTATGTGTTTATTATATACAATCGGTGTTCAAATTGTGGGAAAAACAAATCAGTTGTTAATTTCGATCGGAATTTGATTGTCACGTCTCTATCGATAAGTTAATTATAGTTGAGATCAACTAATTGTCAATAAATGTTATCATTTTTTTTGTTTAAACGTAAAGTCAAAACCAAATAACTTTACTAAATCTGAATCCAGAAAACATGAGATAAGATTTTCATCATATTATATGAGCGCTCATAGAAAGTGTGCTGTAATTCACAGCAAAATCAAATTTAAAACACTTTTTAAAACTTTGTATGTGTTTTGCGCATAAAAATTGCCGTAATTTAAGACATTGTTTGCAATTTTATGAAATAATAGCAAATTTTCAAACAATTTTGTTATGTTTTTGTTTAAGAAAATTATTAATAATTATAATAATAATACAATTTTTACAAATTAACGCCATGGTAAAAACTACAGACAAATTAATGGTAATTTTGTTGTTTTGTTTGTCATTATTCAGTCATAATTGTAAAGCTTTGCAAAAATATTTTAAATATTTTCTTTCTCACTGTCTTTTGTTATATAATTATTATAATAATCAATACTTAATACTCTTTAAATCGATTTTAAATGTATTTTATATTAATATTGTTTTTTAAAAATAAAACACAAAGTATTCAAATTGTTTATAATTTAAAAATTTACAAGTTTTCGCTTTTAACAAATGTTTTCAGTTGTGAATTAAAACACACAATGGATTTGTAATTATATTCAAACGTGAATATTAACTGCAATTTTGAGACAAAATGTGTTTTTGTAAATGTTTTATACAATATTAGTTGGAAAACAAAAACAGTGATTAACAACATTTGAATCCACTGTTCGCTGCAAATATAGATTACAAACTAAAATACAATTATGGTTTTGGAGCGGAAAATATAATTTAAAGCAAAAATAAAATCAGAATTAAATTAAACCAAATATAATTCAAAGAGTAAAAGTGCTTTTGAAAGACAGCACACTTTCCATCACTCACTTCACTTCACTTCCCATTCAATTAAACCTCAGATTTTTTCAAATTCTAAACTAAGTTTACGATTCGTTATGTAATTTAAAAATAGTTTTGTTTCAATTAATGGTTTTTATCGATAGAGTTTCGGCAGAGTTTTTGTTTAAGAGTCACAAGTATTGTCTGAATGTGTTGTACTGTATGTGTGTTGGGCTCACAATTCAAATCAAACCACTGTCTGAAATGATCGAAACGAATGAATGAATATTATTCTTATATATTGTCGGCTTTTTCTCAAATTAACAAAAAAGTAAATCTTTTCAATCGATTGAATAATAAATTGTTTGCTTTTTATTCACAAATTGATGAAAAGGCGGGTATTTTTCAGTGTATTAATTCAATTCGCGGTCTTCTAAGTATCGGTACTCAAAGGTAAAGCCTTCCTTTTTCCTTTGGCCCCACTTTTCGTAATCAAAGTATATGTATGTTCCCTGAAATCACACAATCATTTCATTACAAATCACTCAAAGTTGTATCTCATTTCAACACTAAAATACCTGTTCGTATTCATCAGTGATTGTTTTGGGCTCTTCGTGCCTCTGGAACCACATCATGTATTTGGTGTGGAAACGCCACGACTGCTTCTTCAGCGCCTTAGCCGCCAAATATTGTGCTTTCGTTCCCTAATATATTCAATACAATTAAAATTATGGGCCAAACGGCAAGTGAAGGCAAACCAAACCTCCATAAAGTAGAAAATAAAAAACAACGATTCAGTAGACAATCGGTGGAAGAATTCAATGGAATCGCTGTGAGGCAGACATTGTTGCGGATAATAAGTCGGGACCGGACATGGATTCGGCGGTAGATAAGGCCTGAAAGCGTACATCAAATAAAGACTAAATGAGCGAACATTGAAGACAATGCAATCCATGAAAAACAAAGCCATACCTAAGCCTTTGAGAGTCCATGGGATGTATTGGATGTCTGGAGGCGGCCTCAAGCATATGGAGCTGATAGTAGCACTGTTTGGTTAGACTCACGGGTCCTAAAGGCGCCACACCTAATAAGGGGGGAACTGTCGCCTCATTTGTTTGATTACCGGTGCCGGGCGTTGACGAGCGCTGCGAACCAATGGATGACAGGGGCAGGCCTTGCGAGGATACGATGGACACGGACTGCGGTAACTGTTGGTTCACTAATGCCTTCGATGAGGCACTCAATAGTCCGAACATCGAAGAAGTGGTCGAATTGTTACTCAAGAGAGAAGTGCTGTTCATTAAAGAGTTAACCGAATGCTCGTAAAGAGATTGTGAGGACTGTTCGCTATGGCTATGACTATGACTGTTGTTATCGTTATTTGTGGTGATTTGGTCTTCGAGCCGATCGACCGCCTGTTGTGCTATAGATTTCAATGAAGATAACGGCTGCTGATCCGACTCGAGAGTCGACAGTTGTTGTTGTGTCACATTCTTGTGGCCAATCACTGGACCGTTCATTAGAATAGGCGTCGGTTGAGAGAACTGCTGCTGCGGTCGAGAGGACACAACACCCGTATTCCAGGGACCGGCAGATATGGTCGATGTGAGTGTAGTGGTGGTGACGGCCGCCGCCGCGCTGTACAGAAGCGATANGTATTCCAGGGACCGGCAGATATGGTCGATGTGAGTGTAGTGGTGGTGACGGCCGCCGCCGCGCTGTACAGAAGCGATACTGAGTCACCGCTCAGACCCATAGGACTGGCGGACAAAATGCTCGGCGAAACTAATGTCTGCTGAAGAGAATTCGGCGAACTATTCATATACCGACTCATGAGTGCGTCGGCGCTCACATCCGAGCCCTTCATTTGACTCATAACCGCACTGTTGTCCAAATGCTGTTGCATTTGATTCATGCGATTCATTAGATTAGTGTTGGCGGCGGCGGAGCCCGAGTTGACTCCGACGGCCAGCGCGTACTGATTGGTGATGTTGTGGTTCGACAACGGGTTTATCGACGGACTCGAGGAACTGCTCGACGAACTGCTGCTGTTGTTGTTGTTGTTGCGGATGGGAGTCATCGCAGCGCTGGTGGCGGTCGTAGTGGTGGTCACGGATGCGGTGGCGACGGCGGCGCTGGTGATCGTCGCCTGAGGTACCGGTGCTTTACTGGTGGATGAAGTGGTCGATGACGTAGAACTCGTGGAACTACTAATGGATGGGTTAGACCAGACGGCCAGTGGCTTCACGATCGGCGTCTGCGTTACCGACGACTGGCCCGACAGCGATGAAGACGATGACGATGTCTGACACGTGTTGTTCATCGCCGCCACAGCCGTCGAGCTGTTCGTCGCGTTATTATTGGTTGCACTCAATAGAGAGGAGGCGGAAGAGGTGGTGGTCAGTGGTGTCGGCGCTCCGAACACGTTGTTATTCTCAAGCAATGTCTTGGAATGATTGGTGAGTCCAGGACTCGGCGCCGGCGAACTGGCCGTCGAAGAGGGACTATTCGATTGGATCGAAAGGCTTCCGTCGTCGTCGGCGTTCGAGTTCTTAGTGGTTCCCGAATCGAAGGACGCCGTGTGATTGGCGCGCGTCTGCTCTGAGATCAGGAACTGATTCATGTCCTCTAAGTCGAGGTCTTCGTAGATGAATTCGTTCTCTTCGAAGTCCGGCTCCTGACACGAGTCGATGTAGTACTCGACGTCGTCCTTAATCTTCTTGATGGGATCCACTTCGACGGTCTCGTTGTCCAGCATTCGCATCAATGTCTCCAACTGTTTGATGTGATACCTGTGCTTCTCGACCCACGCCTTCAGTTCGTCCAATCGGTCCTGTTTTTCGCGATCCTTTTTGCTCTTCTTCTGCGCCAAATGAATCGATTCCGACTCCGACTCGAACTGATCCAACTGTATGTTCAACGAGTCAATGGATTGAGACAACCAGTTGTTCATCTCGTCCCTCTCCTTCTGCGCCGGATCTAACTTCTGAGCGGCTCCTAAGCCCTCCTTAGAGTACGCTTTGGTCTTCGTCTCCCTCTCAACCACTTTAAACCTTTAGATTGCGACAACCAGTTGTTCATCTCGTCCCTCTCCTTCTGCGCCGGATCTAACTTCTGAGCGGCTCCTAAGCCCTCCTTAGAGTACGCTTTGGTCTTCGTCTCCCTCTCAACCACTTTAAACCTTTCCATTTGAGTCTCAATTAGTTTCCTATTCTCTAAGAGCTGTCGTTTGTCTTTAATTTCACTCGAGGCCACCCATGTCTTGATCTGATCCCTGAGCCTCTGTTTGGGGGCAAACAAACGAATCAATGAATGCAAACCATATCAAGAGTACTAATGGGTGACAAACCTGTAGTTTCTTAATCTCCTTCTTGAGGTCGGCCTCATATTTCTCCTTCTGGTTACTATTGCTGGCGTTGTGGACCTTCTGCCAGATGTCTTCAAACGTCTCGACCCCTTCGGCCACCTTTTTGATGCATCTCTCGATTTCTAACATAAAAACAATACATTAATTTACAACAAAATAAACACATTTACTATCAATCGCTTAATCAAATCGTTTGTATCAATAAATTGCAAATTTTTAAACACTTATAGAAATTATAACTAAATTTATAAACAAATGCATAAACTTTTTGTTGCAATAAAAGTAATTAAAACTAAAATTAATTAAAAACTGTTTCGTGAGTACGAAATACAACTGCAAAACAATAACAAAAAAGTTTTTCAACTCATAATTGGATCCAACAATTAGTGATCTCTTGGAGTGGAAAATACTAATACAAACGATTGATCTGTTAATGAGTTTGATTTGCATCAATGGTTTGGAGGGGTTTAACCATTGATGGGGGCGAAGGGGAGAGCAGTGATAATCACGGGCCAAATCATCTAACCTTGCTGTTTGCGTCGATCAGCCATAGCTATAATGTATGGATCAAATGCAGTGATAATGTCTTCAGAAACATAGTCCGACACGAAAAGAGCAAAACCAAGACTCGACTCTTCGTGGATCCGACGGGACGTGTATTTGTTGACAAATTACGCACGAGATAACGGGTGGTCAGCACGCGATGTGTTAGTGGTGATGATGGCAGACACAGAGACACTGCGGTTGTATTGACTGCTATTATCGATGCTTTTGTTGTCAATACCTCAGCAGTGAGTACAATATCAATGCCATTACAAGATGGTTGTTATGCACAGCACTACAGCTACTGACACAACCACTACCTGTGCTGCCATCACATGCCAGACCATCAGAGTATTATAATCCTGTGTGTAACATTATATACGAATGGCCCCCACTTTGTAACGTACTTTACGAGCAGTCGTTTGTGACGTTTGTTGCAAAGAAAGGATCTGAGAGTTAATGAGACAAATGGCCGACCGATTGATCGCACAACTGATCCCATATATCGGCCATCGATTCGCTCGCTTTCAACGCCTAAAAGCCGTCAACACTTGATCCGTATCGACGCCGCCGAAGACTAGCACACAATGGCCGCCATTGAGTACGACCTCAACGTTTCCGGTGGTCTAATGCCAGTTAGTTCTCACTCTTCGCTCTCTTAACCATTCATTTAACCATTGATTGTCTCCTTCGCCCCAAATGTGCAGCAAATCAACGCATTGACTGCTCCGCCGACCAGTGATGAGCCGAATCGACGCCGAAAACTGAAGAACAAGTCGATTGCGAGACAACAACAGACCACACAATCATTGGGCGCCGATTCGGCCACTAATGGCGCCAATTGTGGCACAAATCGAGCCATTCTTTCCCGACAGACAAAGACTGGCAAAACACCGAATCACGAGTACTGCGACTCTTGTCGCGAGGGCGGAGACCTCTTGTGCTGCGATCGCTGTCCAAACGCTTTCCATCTGCAGTGCCAGTCAGTTGTCATCTCATTGTTTATCTGATCCGTCACTTAATTGGTGTTATTTTTAATCCATTTAGTGATCCGCCGCTCGACGAGGAGGACGTGCCTCAGGGCGAGTGGTTGTGCCGGAAGTGTAAACAACTGGTGAAAGAAGTGGACGAATCGGACGATGAGAGCGGCGACGAAGAGGCAGAGGAAGCGATGGATGAGAGCAAAGACATCCAAAGGCCGTTCTCGTTGCTGGTGAGAGCGGCCCAATCGTTGAACCCGAAGCAGTTCCAACTGCCCAACGATATGATGCCATCGATTCCATTGGTGGGCACTTCGAAGAGAGTGAACGGCGGCCGCAATGGCAACAAGAGGCAGATCCACGAAATGGAGAACTCTTTGGTTTCATTTCCCGTCAAATTGTGTAATCAGTGCTCAAAGAGTTGCCGAAAGGCGCCACTCATTCAATGCGATTACTGTACACTCCTTTGGCACGCGGACTGTCTCGACCCTCCCATGACATGTCTGCCCACCGGCCGCTGGATGTGTCCAAACCATTCGCAACCCATTATCGAACAAAAACTGTTAAATTCTGTGAGTTTGAGCGAACGGATCAAACTCTGGGACCACTTCTCGGGTCCCATATCTCAAGACACCGTGAAATTGAATTTCCTGAAGAAAGTGCACCGAAAATATCCTCCGTTTCGGACAAAAGTGTGTTTACCTCCGACTCAGAGAGTGGTAGTGCCCGACGCTATCAAACACATGTACAAAAGACGTCCTCCTCTTCTGCCAAATGTTAATCAATTATCCATTTATGACACAAACCATACGAAGAACGAGTCGTCGAGTGAAGCGGACAATGAATGCCTAAACAGTGATCGTCATTACGAGAGACCAACTCATGAACAACAGGAGGAATGGCTCCAGAGTTTGATCGCATTTCAATCAAGTGCTGCACAATATATGATTGCAAACAAAACTGATTCAAAGAGCAACTCGTGTTTAGCCATCACTTCTGGCAATGAGTTGCCGCCCAAAAGTGGTGACAGTTGTGTGAAATACAATTCTCAAACTTCAATGAATGGTCCGACAAATCATTCATCCGAAGACATGAATAACTCTCTAAAAAAGGACCAAAAAAGTGATAACAAAGAGATAGCGACGACTCAAATGAATGGCGAGAAGTCGTATTCGTCGCCCATATCTTCTCCCGACAAACGAATCTCAGTTCAAAGCAATTGTTTGAATGCAAACATTGAGACCATAGCCGACATGAATCGTTTGGACGACAATCTGATCCGAATGCTGGCTCTTCAGCGAATTCAACAGTTGAACAATAAAAGTGTTGAAAGTAATCATAACGTCGGCGCCGGTGTTGGCGGCGGTCAACACAACTC